AAATTTGACCCCAACTATATATATATATATATATATATATATATATATATATATATATATATATCGAGTGTAACAGCAAAATTGTCCTAATCGTGTAACAGCATAATTGTCTATCCTATAAAATGACAAATATCTAAAAAAAAAAACCCACAAAACTGAGTTTCTTTTTTCCCTGTTTTCAGATAAGACGTTTAGCCATCTCGACAACACTTGCCGTAAGAGTCACTGGAAAACCCTTTGATTTATTCAGCTAGAAAGAGAACAGTTTAAAATGATTTTGTGTCAGTCCCACTGTCTTCCCAAATTAGCAATGGTGAGAGGGAAAAAATCATTCAGACCTTAATGGTACCAAATGTTATACTCTGGCTTCTATCATGGAAGTCTATTCAAAAACCATCAAGAGAACGGTGAATAAGTTTAAAAAGGAGAGAAGAGTATAGATAAAAACTGGAACAGGATGTTACAACAGGAAGAGGGATCCTTATTTCAACTAAAGAGATCAATTAGGAAAGATCCAACTTAATCCATTTGGGACGTGAGAGAGGTGTTCACCCATGACAGTCCAAAGAGGAGTGAAAAACCTCTTGAAAATAAAATCTTACGTGACACCTATGAGGCACCTTGTTACTTATTAGGTTAGAGAGAGCGAAGATCATCTTGAATATGTTGGAAAATGATCCTGGAATAATATATATATATATATATATATATATATATATATATATATATATATTTACTTTATTTCAATGTTTTATAAGCTTCCGATCCTTAGCTATGATTAATTAATGATGAATATGTTATTTTCGGTTTTGATTGATTTCTTCATGATTCCTCTGTTAAGTTTGGAGAGTAATTATACTGTCTTATTGTTCAGAGTCGAGTCCAATTGTGTTATGAAAAGAGAATTTCAATAAGATATATTTAATCATTTTTAAGATACAACGGTTCAAAGCTTTAATGTGACAAATGGACAATGTTGCTTTTACACGATTTGGACAATTTTGCTGTTACACCGTTATATATATATATATATATATATATATATATATATATATATATATATATATATATATATATATATATTGATGCATGTTTCATTAAATAATATACACAGGTTTTGTCTATTTATCTTAAGTAAGTTACTTTCATGGTATCTGGTAAGCGTAATAACATTATCTTTGAAAGACGAAAGACTTGTCTATATTATTTAATGAAACATGCATCAATGAAAAGTTACTGCCTAAATATACACAATTTAAATATTTTATATTTATATATATATATATATATATATATATATATATATATA